TTTGGGGGGATGTCTCTAGACAAGGTCAGTGCTGGGATAGCTCCCCTTTCCTCTGGGGGTCATGGGAAGCCCCTCGTCACCAGTGGGAGGAAACAGAAGGACATGGGACGTAAGCCCTGTGTCCACGAACATTCCATGGCCATGTCCATCTGAGACCAGAACGATGCTGGTCTGAGAACCATTCTCCATTTGTTCTGCTGTTTGGGGGGATGTCTCTAGACAAGGTCAGTGCTGGGATAGCTCCCCTTTCCTCTGGGGGTCATGGGAAGCCCCTCGTCACCAGTGGGAGGAAACAGAAGGACATGGGACGTAAGCCCTGTGTCCACGAACATTCTATGACCATGTCCATCTGAGACCAGAACGATGCTGGTCCGAGAACCATTCTCCATCTGTTCTTTCTCACATTCTGCCAGTCTTTCTTTCATCCCCACAAGTATCTGTTCCTTCGAGCTAGTCCCTGGTTCTTCTCTTCCAGGACGACAGATATTCTTCCCACCTTTGGAAGCCCTGGGGACACCCCAGGAACAAAGGGGCTGGTCCTCATTCCTGGAACACAGGTGAGCTGCAAGTGAGCTCAGCAACCCTCACAGAGCCATCCTCACCCTCACCATTGCCCCCGAGAGCTCTCCTTGGGGTCTCAGGGGCCATAGTCTTGACCCTGACAGCACATTAAGATCCAGACCTCCTAGATCAGATTCTCCAGGGCTGGGGCCTGGGCATCTGTATTTTACCCAGTTCTTCAGGCTGTTTGGTTCCCAAGCCAGAGCTGAAAACCATAGTGGAGATTATGGGCTGCAGATACAACTCCTGGGCCAAATCCAGCCGACCACCTGTTTTTGTAAATCGAGTCTTATCGGAACACAGCTACTCTCATCTGCTTACTCACTGTCTGTGTCTACTTTTAAACTATAACAGCAGAGCTGAGTGGTTGAGACAAAGGCCAGATAGCCTGCAAAACCTAGAATATTTACTGTCTAGCCCTTTACAGAAAAAGCTTGCTGCTCCCTCGAGAGGCCCACACCTTTCTTGTTTTGAGAGCACTGGGCTCCAGCTTTCCCTCCAGCTTCGTGCAGAGAGAAGTGGAAGCCTAGAGCATCTCCCTTCCTCCTCTCTGGCTGCCCACCTTCCATGCCCAGTGCAGTCCTGCTTCCTCCCCG